ATCATACACAACCCTGACCTTAGTGGTCTTTGCGTCTTTACGAACCACAGCATGATGTGGTAGATAATGGATCTTATCAGCTCTCTCTAACTCTACAACTGGTTCTATAATACCTAGCTCTAACTGTTCTTTAATTACTCTGTCATACTCTTGTAAAACTTCTGGCTCCTTCTTTAATCTTAAAAGCTGTCCCTTTAATCTCTGCACACTACAGCTATAATTAGTTGGCAATAAACTATGCCCTTCCTTCCAAGGTAAACTTACACTATATCGTTGGCCATGAAATGTATTGAATCATTTAATAACTCACTAGCTTCCTCTTCATGCTTTATACCTAACGTTTCATAATCCCATAATTTTTCAACACATGCTTCAAGGGACCTATTCTTTGATGAAGTTACATGCCCAATAAGGTTTGTACTTACCTGTGCACACGATGTAGGACCATCATCATCTTCAGAGCTACTCTTCAGTGGACCTGACAACACCCATCCTAATTTGGTTTGTACCGCAACAGGTTCATCACTCTTGCCCCTAACCGTACGCCCTTCTTGAAATAACCACAAATAATCTGCGCCAATTAGTAACTCTATTTCTAACACATTCTTGGTCTTACAAACATCGGAAAACCATAACCCTTGCAAATGTGGGTAATCTTTCTTCCTTGTCTCTACATGCTCATTCCTAATCTGTGAAATGCTGTCTACTCCATAAACTTCAATGCTAACACTCTCTCCCCCTGTACTGGGGCTACACTCAATTCAAACACTTCTCTCAACTTCCCTTCAACTTTCTCCTGTCCGAACGTTCTAATTTCTACTCATTCCTTCCTCTTTACTGGCACTCCTGCCTTCTGAGCTACCTTGCCCGTAACGAATGACCGTTGACTTCCTGAGTCAAACATAACCCGCACTCTCACATTCTCCTTTCCTCCCATCACCAAAGCCTGAGCTGTCTGCAATGCTACTCTATTTGCTGACCCAACGCACGAAAGTGTGGAATGAACTACGTCAGCGGCTAATGAGCATGGCTCTCACAAATAGAACTATGATGTCGTTTACTGCATGTATTACATTTACTCGTATTTAAACAATTACTACTAATAAGTCCTCTTTTTAAACATATAAAACACCGTCCGTACTTACGAAGAATCTGTTTACGCTCAGCAGCATCCTGAATTTTCTTGCAATCTTGTGATAAATGTTCTTGTAAACAATATACGCATCTTGGCCTCCCTTCCCTGGTAGTATGATTCACAAGAGCAGCCGCCGATCCATCTAGAAACTGTGGTTTCCTTCGTTCTTGTTTTGACGTGTTCGTCGTAGATGATTCGTGTGCTTCGCGTAATTCAATTTCATCTAGCAGAGCGTCATTCTGGTTGACCGAGCTATCAAAAGAGTCCCAAAATTCTTGCCGCTCTTGAATTTTCCCATTAAATCTTTTGACTTCTAATTTTGGGAGCTTTGCGCGAACAGTCTGTTTTGGTGTAGCGTTCATACTCAGATTCGATGGTGTACTTTGACCTTGTGGTAGTGACGGCAAGGCTTCGAACAATGCGTCATTCACGTGGAGAATTATTTTTTGTAATTCAGCTCGCGTATCATCTGTCTCCTGAATTTCCTTTTCCAGCTGTTGTTCTGCGTCTTCGGCTTCACTATTACTTAATTAGTATCTCGACAATCTCGTTGTCTAAAAGTTTCAAGGCTTCGAGTTTCTCGCTCAGCGTGTCTCTCAGCTGTTTCAGCACATTCTTGTCCGTCTGAGGCGTTTCACTCGCATTCGCTAAACATTCTTTAATCTTCGTTCCTATCTTCGTTGCTGAACCTCTGTGCGCTGCGCGTGTTCTTCTTTTCTTTGTCAGCTCGTCTAACGGCATTGTTGTATCTATTTATCTCGATTCTTTCTTTCGAAATCTATCCGGTTCGCATGGACCAAGTATTGCACTTTTCTGTCTTACACCGCAAGACAGTTGCGCTTCGTGGGGACTGTATACTATCAGAACAATACCATCGGAAATAGAACACACACGCGTACTTTAAAACATATTTATTTAAACTATTCAAACGATAAATACACTAACATAACAATCCTTCTGGGTTTCTCTCGTGCTTTCCGTCTGACAATCAATTCAAAGATGACATACGATACATTTCTTACGTCAATCAACTAAATCACCCATTGTTTGGTCTCCTACGGCGTTATCAATAGTATAATGTTACAAATTATTCTACATTATGAGGCACCTCGGGGATATGTGTTTATTCACCTCGGCGCTGCGCGCCTCGGTGAATAAATCACATATCCCCTCGTTGCCTCAAAATATAAACCTTTATACTTAATTCCCTATTGTTACTTCCTCAATGCTATGAATATCCAATCTTTCTCGTTGGTGTTTTGCATGTATTTATGGCACTTGCATGTATTTATAAACCACGTCTAAAACACCAACGATGATTTGAAATATTACTTATGGGTTACATACGAGCGTTTACACTTGATGAATAACAAAAACCTTCCATAAATTCAGTTGTTGGATTAGTATAAAGTGAATATTAGGCTTTATTAATAAATTTAACAATGTAGGTAAAAACCAAGTGAAGAAATTACGTATGGCCGCCATGCAGAAATGGTTGCGGATTCGTTGAGACAACAGTTTACATGTCCATCTGTCTCGGATTTGAATGTTTCTGGATACAAAGTTTTATTCTGAGCCGTATCCGGAAACATGAAGACTTAAAGTTTGCGGATGCGGCTCAGATCCATAAAATTAGTGCATATATATAATTAGTATAGTGGTTTTCCAAGTTACTTAACTGCTATAATGTTAATTAACTACACTAGTCTATTGATTATACTCACTATAGCACATGTACAATTAATATACTTGGAAACAGACTTGCTCCAAGTCCAAGACGTATATTGACTGATATACATTGGACCCGGAACTGAGCCAGCATGCATAATGAAATCCCTATAATACGCAATTTTCTGAGCAGAATTTAAATATGAACAAGACGCTCTGCGGAGTGTTAACTCGCTGGGGCTATACCAGACTTGGTTAGGGCCTGAACTTCAGGTTAGTTGAAGTCCGTCTCTCATATTTTCGCAACGTTTTTGACCGCTCGAGTGCATCGCTATTTTCAACCCCTTGAGAGACGGACTTGAACCCGAGTCTAGGGCTATACAAATACGTACATTACTGTACATGTTACAGACAGTACACAGCTATTTCAATTAAGATTTAAGGTCTTCCCCGAGCTAAGCGGAAAAGTCGATACCGGCACGAAAGGCTTACATGTAACACAGTACTAAAATGCGGTAGGCCCTACAAGTAAAGTTATATTTTATAGTACGCTACATTCTATTTCTTCAAGACTGTCAGCCGCCAGTTGGTCCGTACGTTAGGATTAAACTGCGCTTTAAAGATGCGGCACAGTCTGATCTGCGCATGTGCATAAAGAAGTCCTCTTTTTATTTACAAACAGTTTATTTAGGTTTTTATTTCATTTTATGTTCTTGCAAAGCTTGATTGTTGTCTCTTGATAATTTATTATACTCTAGAATCATGAAAATATAAATAGTTGTCGAATAAAATTCAATATTTTGGATACCGAAATGTAAACAAAGCCTTTGTTTACATACGGACTGTACCGCATCTTTAAAACGTTCAAAATAAAATATTTGGGGGCTTTTGGGCTCAAAGTAATATTAAAATGAAGACAGAAGTGAGACGAACCACTGGTATACGGCCGAAAAAGAGAAAACCAATGATACCAAAGTTATCAAGGATTAAACGTACTGCATTAATAATTTTGAGCGACTTGTCAACAATACAATTATTTCGCTTGGCTTTCAACAAAGGCCATATTCGCTAGAATACTGTTGTTTAGTAATACTGTACATTTGACATCCGTAATTAGTACAATTTCTAACGCTGAATCGAACGGTGGTATTTTTATCCTCAATACGTACTGCGAGCGATTTATCAACAATACAATTTCGCTTGATTTTCAAAGGCAATAAATCGCTAGAATACTGGTGTTTAGTAATACACTTGACATCCGTACAATTTCTTACGCTGAATCGTATGGAACGGTGTCGCTTTCTTCTCAAAATAGAAAGCAGCGCAGCCAAACGTAACTTGCGATTTGCGAAGGTTGCTGTTTCCATGTCGAAATTCCTTGTAAAATTGTTCAATTTTCCCGAATTCTCCTCAAAATGCAAGGTTATTTATGGATAATGTGGGTCAAAATTGGCAGGAGTCCGCAGGAGCTTTATAGATAATTTGGGCAAAAATTAGGTAGCTCATTAATATTCTATTTTGTGGCTATCGACGATTGGAGATCCATGATCCGTGATCCGTGAAAAATGCGAGCCGAAACCTATACTCGTCCGGGGCACAGGTGCCCCAGCGAGTAATAAATCACTAATTCTGAACAAAATAAAACTAATCACTAAATAGAAGCGAACAAATTATTGTACTGAAATATTTAATACCTGTCGAATGAAAAAAAACTGAACGAATTATTTCAGTTTTTGATCGTGTCTAATGCATATACAAGTCCATATTTCTCGCCATTTTTCGCGCTACGCCATGTCAATCGCACTATAGCTAGTGGATCAAAGAAATGGGCCGCACTTGAAGCAGGTCTGCTCTTTTAAGTCATCAAGTAGAAGTACAATTTAAAGTACAACTTAAAGTTCCTACAGCCGAGTACATTCAGGATATCCTACCTTCCACTGGCCACCGTCCGTTAACTTTACAAATGAAGAATCTAGGGATAGGTTACTGGACTTGATTGAAAATTCTTTAACATACATGTCTTCGTCTCCATCACCACGACCTTGAGTTTCGATCGCACCAACCCGCTTTACCACACCAAGGTCAATCTAATTATGGCATATTTACAAAATTAATGTGCGCAGCTGGGCCGCGTAGCTCAGTTGGCAGAGCATTGGGCTAGTATTCCAAAGGTCGTAGGTTCGATTCCCACCTTGGCCAGGCATATTTTTCAAGCCTGCCCGGTGTGGATATACACTCAGAGTAACATCACAAGCATCTTATTCACCTGAGTACACTACACCAACACAGCAAATAAGTGCAGTGTATTTTATCTTCGATATTTCGTCAAATTGCCGCCATTTTAATGCTCGCCGCTTCTCTCCCGATAAATGCCACTTCTTCCTTTTCATATGTATTTAGATTAGGGATGGACCATTAGAAAAGTGATGGGGGGGGGGGGGTAAATTTTTTATGTTTGCATTTTTTTCCACGTTGTCAGCTGTGTATGCATGTCTTTTTAAATATGTCTTCTCGCATGCAATTTTTTTTCCAGTACAACTATACAAGTGTTAACGAAACTGTTCTCTTGACAAAAAATATCCCTTTAATGCACACTGCAAAATAATATCGTTAAGGATATTTTAGGCTAAACCAGATATCATTTAATGATATAAGTATGGCAGAACAAATTAGCAAAAGGAAGAAGAAACAAAACATGAGAAACGAGAAGAGCAAGATTAAGTAAAGGAAAGGAAAATGTAGAAGAAGATATTGCCATTGAGATTATAGATCAGGAAGATAGTGTCAGTTTGATAGATGAAGGGGATAGTGGTAGTTTGATTGTAGATGAGGAAGATAGTGTCAGTTTGATTGTAGATGAAGAAGATAGTGTCAGTTTGATTGTAGATGAAGGGAAAAGTGGTAGTTTGGTTGTTGATCAAGAAGATAGTGTCAGTTTGATTGTAGATGAAGGGAAAAGTGGTAGTTTGGTTGTAGATCAAGAAGATAGTGTCAGTTTAATTGTAGATCAAGGGAAAAGGTGTAGTTTGGCTGTAGATCAAGAATATGATGGCACTGCGATTATAAATCAAGGGGAAAGTGGTAGTTTAGTGGTTGTAGATCAAGAGGACAGTCAGTGGCGTAACGTTATATTAGGGGCCCACCGGTTCAAAACTTTCGAAGGCCCTCCTAGAAGAAGTGCCAAAGGCACAATTCAAACGCCATATATGCACAAGTTTTCTAGGGGGTCCAGAGCTTGCTCACCCGGAAAAATTTTTAATCTAGATTCTCTAAAATAACATTTCCCGGACTTTGGGGAGAGATTTTACAGAATTCTGATGGTCAGAAAACAACATCTGGCCAATGTTTTTGCTCTATAGCCTGATCCTGGGGGCCCCATTTGGCCCATTGGGGTTGGGGGCCCCCGGGTTCTCCCGGTCGGACCCCATAGCAGTTACGAAACTGATCGAGGACAGTGGCAGTGTGAACGAGGATTATTAAAGACAATAGAAAATATTTTGATAGTATATAATAAAACTATATATGAGTTAGTGTTAATATTGAAAGAAATTGCATGTTAATATATTATATATTTATATATTTATATTTCGTAATATTCCAAAGACTTAGTTCAATTTTGTCTGATGTACATTTAAAATTAAAGTTCTATTGTTGCTCTGTTTGTAATATTTTTTAAACAAGTCTGTCTGCATGTATTGTTTTTCAAACATTTTTTGTTTGCATGGATTTTTTTTCTGTTTCGCCTCCC